TAGTCTGGCAGGCATTACCTCGTGACTATCTTGTGGCTCTGTACTTTTACACTTCCTGGTTTCTGGAATCTGAACTGACTGGTCTCAGTAACTTCTGGCCTGTTCCAGTAACTTATGGCCTGTAGCTAAAAGGAGCAGTCTTAGGCCTTTAGTTTTGGGGTGAGAGCATTTTGGTCTTATTTTGGTTCCACAATCTCCCCAATGGCCCCAGGGATCCTAAAGCAACTGCTTATTCATTTACACTTTCTCCTCCCAACAGGTATGCTCATTTATTTTGGGTACGGCATCTGGAACAGCACCCTGGAAATCAGCGCCCGAGAGCAGGCCCTGCACCAAAGCACATACCAGCACTACGATGTGGATGACCCCTTTTCCGTGGAGGAGGGGTTCTCCTACGCCACTGAAGGCGAGAGCCAGGAGGACTGGGCTGGGCCAGCTGAGGACAAAGGCTTCCATTACCAACAGATGTCAGACGCGAAGGCAAACACCCGGACGAGCAGCAAAGTGAAAAGTAAAAGCAAACACAAACAGAACTCAGAGGCCCTGATTACCAATGATGAGTTAGATTACTCTCCGGAGTAAGGCTAAACACGCAGGAGCCTAGAGAGGGTGGCTTCTCTGTAGATCGGCCTGTGTGCTAGAAGGCAGAAACTCTTCCCACTCATTTCACAAACCCAGCCTTCCCCAAAGTCCGTCCCCAGGCATAACCTGTCATTCGCTACTTTTGCTGTTCAGGAGAGTTCTGTTGAAGGGTTTTGCCCAGGGCTCTTAACTGGCCCCCTTGTAAAAAATCAAAATCAAAAAACTACATGAAATTCTATTTAGTGAGCTGTCCCAGCCGATGACAGCAAATTTTTGCTTTACAGGATGGATCTTTGTGCTTCTTACTAAGACCCAAGGACACTTCCTCCAGCCCTGCTGAGGCTACAGGCCCTCCAGAGAGGACCCACAAAGGTGGCTGTGGGTGTGAAGCAGCTGCCCATCCCCCAGAGCCCAGCTGGAAGCTACTTCCCCAGGGCTGTAGGTCAGGCTGTTTCAGGATCTTCTCAGTGAGCAACACTGTGTCCTTATACCTTACCACCCCAAAACTATCCATGGAGGAGACCCAGGCTTCTCTTTACTCACCAAAGTTCTTACAGTTTCCAGACTATAATTTTAGGATCCAGAAAAGACAGAAGACTCTGAGAGCATATCTCCCATGAAGCAATTATGCAGTCCCCATAGTACAGTAAGAAATAACATCAAAGCTTTACTTAAATGCCCCAAAAAATAAATAAATAAAAGCTTAAGTAACCTCTTGAATAGACGTCAGAAGGAATTGGCAGAAAGGAACTGTCTGTCATGCATTCCCTCATGCCAGACTCTAAGCTCCTGGTGAAAGGGCAGAGGTGGAGTGTGATTCCATGCCTCTGAAATTCCTGGAAGAAATAGGCTATTTGTTTTATACTCAGATAAAAATCTTTGCAAGGAAAAGTAACTCAGCCACTGAGATCACATTACAAATCCCACTTCATATTTTTAAAATTATAAAATCTGCAAAGTTTTTTTTTAGCTAGGTGACTACCTGATTGGATGCTGCTGCCTTGAAAACAGAGGTGTGGAAGGCCAGGTACTTGGATCATCAAGCTCAGAGAGATCACATTCCCACCTGGACCTCACTCCTCTGGGCTAGCTCACTGCTGGAGTATTTTTCCTATTAGTTCCCAAAGCACTTTCACTGAGGCCCAGGGAAATAGCTACCTGGTAAGGTTTAAGTATAGGCCACCAAAGGGTTCTTAAAAGAATTTTCTCCAAAACAGAATAGACGAATTTAGAACAGGAAAAAAAACGAGGCTTCAATAACATGTGTATACATGTGTGTGAAAACAATTTTCCTCATACTAAGATTTTTGTGAGACTCTTGGAAGTGGGTAAAAGAGCAAATTCCTTGCCCTCTCCTCAACTTATCATCGGCCAAAACCTTTCATGAATAACAACTAACATCCACATCTTTTCTTTCTTAGTCTGAAGCTCATGTTTTCTTGGCATGTACTAAAGTTACAGGGAGAAGGCATGCTCCTGTTGAGCTGACTGATTGAAATATACCAAGGACTAAGTGGAGGCCACGAGGAGATCTGTAAGTTCAGCCCTTGGGACTTAGGAGACAGGGAGGTGCAGGGCTGGAGCCCATGACAGACGCAAGAGGCTTCAACACAACAGAGCAACTGAAACTATTTTTTTAAGATAATGCTTTTAGATAAATTGCATACCATGCTCTTAGCCAATGTATGCTATTGCATTCAAATAACTTCGTTTTAAAGATCTCGTTCATCACTCCATATTAATTCTGTAGAACCCTGGCTTCCGGTATTCATTGTATCATTTTTATGTAATGTCTGACAAAGCTGTTTCCTCTTGCCTAAACTTAACCATCACAAAGCAGTGCCTGGCCTGTAACAAACTACCCTAGAGAATTCACTGTAAAATAATCATGAGTCATGTTTGCTAAAACTAAGTTTTAAACTGGTGTAGGATGCAAGAAATCTGCCTGCTCTAAACCTCTATTAGGCTGGGTCCACTTCTAGGCAGATGGTGTAATGGTCTCTTCCTTAGATATGTTTAGGAGAAATATGGAAACAAAGCGACGAATCTTAACGTGGGTGGAAAGTTATGTCTTATTGATGGTGTTTAGGTATTAAAGTAGCAATGGTCTGGTGGCAGGTGTGTGCTATTTCTGTAGCGTAAGAAAGGGCATGGGCTCTATTAGTTAATGGCAGTGGTGTTGTGTCTGTGCAGAGCCAATGAATTATTCTCATTTTAGAAACCATTTTTCTCAGTTAGTAGCTTTAAATGTTTGCTCCCTTCATTTTTCTAAAATTGTTGGGGTCATCTTCTTAGCTATCTTGGTTTTTAATATATATTTTATATATATAATATATATATGGTTTGGAAAGTTTTCTCAGGTATATAGAATGTTTTTAACCATGTTTCTTGGCTCCTGTAAAAGAGTCCCAGGTTTCACAAGGAGGTTTTCAAATACCATCCTATCTGAACATTGTATTTGTGAGACTGCATTGAAAGCAGGAAGACTTTATAAATAATTATCTTAGAAAAGCTCTTCTGGTGGGGTTCATGTATGCGGGATGTGCAATTTTGGAGCCAATGGTTTAATATTTTTAAATTGTATTCTGTTTTTTTACTCTGCATCATTTCAGAGAGATTAGAGGCAGCTATTGAAACACATGTGCTCCAAAACAAAGAGGAGTGATACTGTCAAGAAAGAAAGGCTAACACACAGTCAGAAATGTGTGACAGGCACAAGCACAGAACATTCGAGAGCTTTGCTGAGTTTTCCGATGAAGAGCACCTCAGAAAGCAATTGACTTGTCAGTGATGACAGCCAATACCACCACATGCTCAAGATAGATAGATAGATAGATAAATAAATAAATAAATAAATAAATAAATAAATAAATAAATAAGCCTTGCCCCCCACGAGGGCAGACTGTTAAGACAGCACAGACCACTGAAGTTCACAGAGAAGCTCCAAAACTAGATTACACTAGCTACATGTGCCTGACGGAGAGTGGTTATCAAGAAATACCTGCTGGGAGGTGGTGGCGCAGGCCTTTAATCCCAGCACTTGGGAGGAAGAAGCAGGCAGATCTCTGAGTTTGAGGTCAGCCTGGTCTATAGAGCAAGTTCCAGGACAGCCAGGACTACACAGAATAGCCCTGTCTAGAAAAAGGAAGGAAGGAAGGAAGGAAGGAAGGAAGGAAGGAAGGAAGGAAGGAAGGAAGGAAGGAAGGAAGGAAGGAAGGAAGATCTTGATTGATTGAATGGGAAAAACGAGTGAATGGATAAAATAGAGGAAAATAAACTACCTATGCAGTAGTTATTCATAGAGTGCCTGTCATGTGTTATGGCATATTCTGATGCCGTAAGTGAAAGGTTCAGTTCTTAACAAGTAAGATCTAAAGGCTGGCCAGACAGCTCAGAGGACCAAAGCAACCTGATGACTTCAGTTCCATCCCTGGAACCTGCATAAAATGGAAGACGTGACTCCACATGCCTGCTCTCTGACCTCCACATGGGTGTTCTAGAACGCATGTGCACACACACACACACACACACACACACACACACACACACACACACACACACACATTTAGCATAGTAACAGAAAATTCCATACTCAAAGCAATGCTTTCCTTATGTTTTTATGTTACCTTAGGAAACATGTAATCTTCTAACATGCAGACACACAACATGATTTTTCAAGCACTTTCCAGTTTTCAGTAATTCCTTTCAATGACCAAATCTAGCAGCTTCTTGTATCCACCTAATCTGAAGAGTAAAACCTCCACTCCTGGCTTGACCTCAATTGAGCTCCAAGCTGGTTTAAACAAGAGGGAGAAGATGAGTGTTAAAATTATGCAAAAAAGTCCTGGTCTGCCTCTTAGTAAGAGCAAGTCCTGTGCCTCCGCGCTGGCCGGAATACTCAAATGCAGTCACTATTAGGAAGTAAGACCCAGAGAAATGTCTGCTCTGCTGAAAAGGGTTGAGAAATTTGACACCCTTTGAATGGTGCTTGTTGGAAATCACATTACCAGAGAATCCCTCTTGGAGACATATAGAATCATAAATGGAATTTCCACCTGTCTGAGTATCCAGCTGAAATGCTAAGGGAAACTGATGTCCCATTTGTCGCTGGGTTTTTACCAGGAGCCTGGGAAGTCCCTGAGACTCAGCCACAGGTTTGCCTACGTTTCCGACTCATGCTAGAATGTTCTGTGATATAAAGTCAAAAGTCAGGAAATCAGCAGGAGCCAGAGCTGGATCAGTTCCGGCGGTCCTAGGGACAGTGGTCCACTCTTGGGCCCCAGGCTCCACATAGGGAGGGGGCAGGAGATGGCTTCCATTTCCCACACACGGAGTGGGATAAGGAGGAAAGGAAGGAAAAGGTGCCGCCTGAATGGTGGGACTCCTCTCCATTCTCAAGCGTGTTTCCAAAAGGCTTGTTAAGAAGGGTGTTTCTGACCCCTGTTTATGACGCCTCCATCGATCTTGTCTCTGTCACCCTCAGGTATTTCACTTATCTGCAGAGAGGCCCTTTGGAGACCCTAAGACCAGCAGTTGATCAGCAATGGCCTGACCATGAAAGAGTCCATAGTTTCAGTTAACATTGTTTGAGGCTAGAAACAGCATCCCAACCCATGTGTCCACACCAGCAGGGCCAGAAGGCTGCTTCCTCCCAGAGCGGTGGCTGAGTTTTCAGTTGCCATGGTGACAGGTGAAGGACAGCCCCTGCCAGTCCCGTGTCCTGTTTTGCTTTCTCCAAGACATTAGAACAGAGACTGTCTCGTTTGCTTTTGCTTTTGTTTAATTTTTCTTTCTGAAATGCTTTCTTCATCTCACACCACCTCTCTCCCTCTGCTTCAGCAACTCACGAATCATCCTAAAACACTTAGGCATCCGCCTTTTGCCAAAATTACTTCTCTAAGAAATATAGAACGTGAGGCTGGACAGACAGCTCAGTGGTTAAGAGTACTTGCTGCTCTTCCAGAGAACCTGAGTTTAATTCCCAACACTCACGTGGTAGCTCATAACTACCTGTAACTCCAGCTCCAGGATGTCCAACGCCCTCTTCTGGCCCCCACACACCCTGCGCCCATGTGCACATACTCAAACGCATACACATAATTTTTTTTTAATAAAAATAATTCTTTGAAGAAACATGGGATGTCCTCTTTTCCTGTTTAGGGCTTAAAGCCCAAGGGTATTAGTAAATATTTAAAGTCCATGAGGAATGCAGATGTATTCTGACATATCAGCTAGAAATAGTGTTGAAATCACTCATCAATACATGCATGGAATCACACAGCCCAAAGGAGACTTCCAAAAAGGCATCATAGGTTTGAAGTCTCCTGACCACAGATGGCTCTAATTTTTTACTCTTTCTGAATATTTAGTGCATGTTGGTTCACACAAGGAAGAAAAATAGTCTTCTGTTGGAAGTAGGAAACAAGGGCAGCCTGGATTTTTATGTTAAGAACCTCCTCCATACTTTTTGTTTCTGTTTAGCTTTGCTGACGTTAACACTGGTGGTATTGGCTAAAGGAAACTGTGGGTCATGTGGGTTTTGTCAGGAGTGCAGACTCTGACAAAGAGTGTTCATTCTGGTGTTGGGATGATGTCCTGGTCCGTGGACATCCGTTGAGTGTTCTTGGCAGTTGCTAATACACTAGTCATGTTCATAGTCATGGAGTTGAGAATTTACACTGGAAGTCATAAGCACCCCACTTCCCAAAGCAAAGACGCTGTTAATGTTCTAAAAGCACCTAAATACCTCAACTATCTGGGCTGAGAAGAGGAGCTGCAGGCTTTTAAGAGGGCAGCTGATGTCCTCATTCTGTGTAGTCAAACCAACAGGACCCGCCATTCTCCTTCTCACTGTGGGAAAGTAACATCACCATTTCATTCATATCCCAAAGTTATAAATATAACCTGTAAATTTCACTAACTTGTTTCAGTTTCGTTTGCTCCTTAAAAAGTACAACTTGCATTTTGCAAATGGTCATTTCTAGTGTGTTCTCTGCAACTTTCTTTTCTGTATGAAATTGCTGTATTGTTAATGTGTGTTCGTTTTCGTGGTTTTATTTCCCATTGGTGCACTGTACAATGGCATGTTGTAATGTACCATGAAGAAAAGGATAATATGCAGATGTACTATAAGGTGTGTTTTATTTTCAAATGACTGTGCTGTTGACAATATTTTGATTTATCAAAATACTAAGGGAAAGTTATAAATTTACCAAAATGTGTATATTTTAATAAATGCATAAAGCTTTATTGTGTGCCTTTACATTTAAATTTTGGTTATTAAAAAAGTCAGAAACAAAACTGTCTTGCTGTTAACTATCCACAGTAATGTAAAGCTTTAACTCAGAGAACTACCCGAAGAGGGAGGAGAACCTGGAGCTTCCTGTGCCACCTAACATCCCAGTGGCTGCAGCCTGATGCTTTCTTCCATTCCAAAATGGAGATGAGTGGGTGACTCTCGGCTTACCTGTTTCAATTATCCTTTGTAGAAAAGACAGAGAAATGGCCTCACTTAAAACTACTCACATTATTGTGGAATATTCATTTCCAACATCAAAATATTTTCAAAACCACAGCTTATTGACTAGCAAATGTGAACTTGCAAAAAATCAGAGCTGTCCAACATTTAAATTCACTTTTCTCCTTGGAGGAGGGCACAGAATCTCCACCTGGGCGACCTTCCAGAAGAGCCTTCCTTGCTCACTTTCTATTGGGACTCCACTCATGATGGCCTCCTTTACTGTCCCATCCCCAGTGCCCCAGCCACCGCCCCACAGTATGATCCTAATACTAATGTGGAACATTCAACTCATTTTTCCTATCCATTTTAAAAACAAATTAGGAAAACATTGACTGCCCACCATCCCAAACCAGTCTACACTGTACAAATGGTGGCTTAACGTCTTTTTTTAAGACAGGGTTTCTCTGTGTAACAGTCCTGGTTGTCCTGGAACTTGCTTTGTAGACCAGGCTAGCCTCAAACTCATGGAGATCCACCTGCCTCTGCTTCCCAAGTGCTGGGATTTAAGGCATGTGCCACTACCACCTGGCAATGTTGTCTTTTTTGATGCCACAGAATTACATCTGATGATAATGATCCAGGCCTGGTGAATACCTGTAACCCCAGAACTTATGAGATGGAAGCAGAAAGATTAGGAGTTTGGAGTAATATTGAACTATACTACAAGTTCAAGGCAGCCTGGGCTACCTGAGACCCTGTCCAAAAAAGGGGGCAGCAAGTTCAGATCCCCCTCATCTATGTAAAGCGGGACATGTTAGTGTGCATCTACAACCCCAGTATTTCTGTTATATGAGAACATTAGATGAGAAGCAGGAACAGGCGAATCCCTGGAAGCCCCAGCTAGACTGTTCTGTGCAATGGTAAATAAACATAAGACCCTGTCTCAAATAAGGTGGGAAGTGAGGACAGACACTCAAGGTTGTCCTCTATCCTCTACACATGTAGCATCACACATACATACACAAGAACTTGCATGATCTCAGGAGGAAGGAAGACAGAGAACACAGGTGAAAACTAGCATGTTCTGGGTCTTCAATGGCCATGGCTGCACACTGGCTATTAGATAAATCCCTGAACAGGTGACCTCTAAAGAGGACGGGTCCATCTGGTCATCTGGGCTTCAGGGTTGTGCTTATTTTCCAAGTCCACAGTCAGAAACTGAACTCAGTTGTTAACTTTCCTGCAAACTGGTGCCTCTCCACTCAGAACCAAAGCCTTTTCTGGTCCACTTCAGAACCCATTGCATGTGGTCCTGAGACCCAAGGGACCAGATGCACCACTTCATGTGGTGATTTTTTATTTGTGCTCTAACAAATAAAGTTTGCCTGGAGATCAGAGGATAAAAACAGCTACTGTGTTATATAGAGAGGTCAGGCAGTGGTAGCACACGTCTTTAATCCTAGCATTCAGGAGACAGAGATTCATCCACATCTCTGTGAATTCAAGATCACATTGGAAACAGAGCCAGGCATGGTAGCACATGCCTTTAATCTCAACACTAGTTAATTATAGAGGCCTGGAGGTCTGTACAGACAGACAGGAGGTGATGGAGCTGGGCAGAAAGAGGAAGTGATATAGCTGGGCGGAGAGAGGAAGTAAGATAGCAGGGCACAGAAAGGTATATAGGCGTGAGTACACAGGAAGTCGCCCTCTCTTTGGCTGAGTATTTCCTAGAGGTAATATGTGGCTGGCTTGCTCTCTGATCTTTCAGCTTTCACCCCAGTACCTGACTCTGGGTATTTTATTAATAAGACCATTTAGCAATTTGAGTTACAACTTAAGGCTTAGGTATGCAGACATCTCCTCTTCCAATAACACACTATCATTTCTGAGCTCTGCTCATGAAAGCTTTGAGCCAGTGTGTGCCACAGATTCTCACAGGATGATTAATAACTTTTCATGCAACCATTATTGAAATTTGTAAGTAAGCTAAGAATGGTAGGATGTTAGATAAGAGGTAATAAGTACTAACAACTAATTTTTATTAATTTTTATTTTTTACATTTTTTTGGTTGTATTACATTTTGCTATCTGTGTTCTTGAGATTATTCACCTATGTGAATGGACTACTAGACAATGATCTCACCTCTCTCCCCAGCTCCAGTTCACATCACTGGCTGGAAATTAGCTATGGAAAATGACAAACTTTTTTAATGGCACTGGATTTTATTTTTCACAAGAAGTTATTATGCACATATTTAGCTGTGCATCCCTGCTTACATCCTTCCCACATTACTGTTTACATCCTTTCCCACATCACTGCTTACATCCTTCCCACATCACTGCTTACATCCTTCCCACATGACTGTTTACATCCTTCCCACATCACCGTTTACATCCTTCCCACATCACTTACACCCTTTCCCACATCACTGCTTACATCCTTCCCACATCACTGTTTACATCCTTCCCACATCACTGCTTACATCCTTTCCCACATCACTGCTTACATC